ACGAATCGATTACTGAAGAGTTAAAGGAAGCGATTAAATAGTTTATAAAAAGGCCTCGAGTTTGCAAAATATCAATAAATATCTCAAACAGAGGTCATGTAATGTCAACGATATTTATCTCGAAGTTTCTAAATTCAATAATCAAACACTCTATTGATTGCCATTGAGAATAGGTTTTCTTAATTTGCAGATAATTTAGAGATCACCCGAACGTGTCATTTAAATATTAATAATAAAACTCTTCATATTATGTGAGCATATATTCTGCAATCAGTAATGCATTTAACAATTAGTTACAGACCTTTGCCTTGAGAAGAGCTGACAGTTCTTTGGTTACAATCGAGAACTTAATAAAAGCGGATCCGATGTCCGGCTCCTGATCTTTGGTCATCGCATTGGCTCCCAATCTCTCCAATGCTTTCGACAAATACACCTCATTGTCGATATGGGCTATAAATACATGCATTTATTAAACAAACAATTATTTATGTTCAAGAATCGCAAACAAATTGATATGTTTTGCATTCATTTGTCAAATATGTTTACAAATGTCTAAACAGTGATAAGTCTGTCAAGAGTACAAAATACACGTTTGCTGTCTAAATATATTAATATAAATATTTTAATTTAATAGACAACGAATGGACTATATTTAGTGATAACATAGAAGTCATATCTGTATGTATTTCAAGAATAGTAGAAATTCTATTGCTTTGCTATTTAAAAATCATTTGAAACGGAAATACTATATAAAAATGTTTTATAACTAAAAAATTTGAACTAATATTGCATTTCATTTGATAAACTCGAGGAAAATGAGTTCAAATGTCTATTAGATATGCGATCGCTATTAAGATATGCAACACTTATCATCACATTATCCGTTATATACTCAACACAACGACTATAAGTAGACAACCGTTTAATTGAGCGATAATTGAGACAAACTGTGAGCAAAACAATGGACACAACAGACGTACCATTGGCTCCATTATAGATGGCTTTGACGGCTTTCTTCATTTTGGTCAACCCATCCCTATCGAAGTCCAGACTCTGTACACAATCGCACCAAACATTACAATCACGAAGACATCCATTCATATGACTACTCATTGGCAGTCAGTGTCCGCGAGTGTCCACAACTGTCACCACTCGACAGACACAACCAATTCGAGCCATCATTTCCTATCAAATCATAGTACAAGACATAACATACTTCCTCGAGAGTGGACACCATTTGTCTGCAGTGAGCCATTCGCGAGACAAACGACGAGGTGGTGGGAGAGTTGATGTCATCCTTGGTTTCCGACACAAACTCGTTGACACCGATTAAGGCGGGCATCGCTTACC